AATTGCAAAAAATTGTACGAGAAATGCATATTTGTATTGCAAATATGCATTTCTCGTACAAATGCCTATAATATTTAAATTTATAAGCAAGTGGTGCATGCGCTAAGACAGGGGTCGCCAAACTTTTTTGATCATAGCCCCCTATATAATTTTTCGAAATCTCCATAGACCCCCCACAAAGGTAATTTTCAGGTAATTAAAATAAAACTATATATTAGTCTAAATATTTAATAAATCAGAAACAGTAAGTAAAGTAGCTACAGATTTTTTACTTCTTAATGAGATGAGTGTGCCTGGTGTTTCTTGGCAAGGTTCGCTATATTGGGTTCGAAATTAGTCAATTTTAACCGTAAATCCCCTCGAAGCTCCACATTTAATTTATTTCTGTTTTTAGTTAAAATTGAATTAACGTGACTGAAACCGGCTTCAACCATATACGAACTTGGAAACGCCAGCATAAATGGCTGAGCCATTTCGTAAAGTTTCACATATTTTTGCTTTATATTTATATTAGTCCAAAATTTATGTATTGTCAAATTTTTAATAAGCGTTTTTGCTTCAAGATCGGACAATAGTTCAGCAAGCTCATCTTGTATGTTGATGTCGACGTTATCAATTTGCGCCGAAAATGGCGCAATAATCCAATCAGGGATGTCGATGTTTTCCAAATCAACAAAGCGCAGTTTAAAATCGTCGCTTAATTTTTGAAGATGATTTGTATATATTTCCAAGTCTTCTTCTTTTATTTTTAATTGTTGCAGATTTGAAAAATACTTATAATCCTTACGTAGCAATGAAGATCTAAATAAATTTAATTTTACTTGGAAGCCTAACAGTATTGTCCGAGCTTGGATAATTGTTACATCTTTTCCTTGCAGTTTTGTTTGAACGTCATTAAATTTTCCAAATAAGTCTGCTAAATAAAAAATATGGTTCTTATTGTTTTGGAGTTCATTGCTTAGAACAGGATTTATTTCATTCAGAAATTGTGTCGTGGAGTCAAATAAATTGACGAACCGTTGCAAGCATACACCTCTAGACAACCATCTAACCTCGGTGTGCAGAAGTAATTGGTTAAATAACTCATTGTTTTCCTCACAAAGTTTGGCAAATAATCTTGATTTAAGAGGTTGAGCTTTAATTTGATTAATAGATTTAATACAAAACTGTAAACTCTGAACTCATATTTTGCTACTGAGTTGTGTCTATGCAACACACAATGAATAGTACGAATACCGGGCACTTTTTCTTTGAGGCATGTAGCAAAACCTCTAACGCCCTACCATAGAAGGTGCGCCATCTGTGGCTACTGCTATTATATTTTCAAGCGGAATGTCATATTTATTTCAATATTCTTGTAAACATCTAAAAATTGTCACTCCCTTCCCATCGGTTTCAAGATATTTATTTAGCAAATAAAAATTCATCAATGACTTCTTTAATTTTACTGAAATATCTAACATACGCCTTAAGAATAGCAGAAACGCCAAAAACAGATTCATCAAGTTGTATAGAGAACTTGCAATTTTTTAGCTCCGAAACTACTGTGTTTTCTATTTCTTCGGCCATTTCGTCAATACGCCGTTTTACAGAATTTGCACTTAATGGCAAAGACTTTAAAACATTAGTAGAGTCTTTTTTCATCACATTCTCAATGACGTCTTTAATTGCAGGTACTACAATTTCTTCTGCGATTGTGTGGGGTTTTCCCCTCTTTGCTATATTAAGCGAAATCTTGTACGAAGCAATTAATCCTCCTTCATTTTCAGTTTCAGTAGACTGTTTCATAAAACTTTTTAGAGTTGGTCGACATGTGAATTTTTCTTTGAGTTTTTTGAAAAATTCTAATTCTTCATTTTTTTTTTTTATCTGAATGAAGCCTTTCAAGATGATCTTTCATTTTTGACGGTTTCATGTATTCATTTCCAAAAGTTTTTTCGCATATAAGACACATAGGAATAGTTTCATTTGTCGGTGAACAAATAAATCCAAATTTTAAGTAATCCAATGAATAATACCGACATTTCTTTTTAGATACTGAAGCTGTCATTTTTAAATTAGGGTTCTGTAAATAAGTTAAAATTAAGTTGGTATATTATACTAATCCACATTATTAAAGCTTACCTTTTCACAAGTAACAATAATTAAAATTGATATCAAAACTAAAACGAATAGTTTTATAGAAACAATAACTCATTATCCAATGGTAGATATAATAGTAGTAATAATGACACTACAAGCATTTAATACTGTTCACAGTTCACAAAGATAGCTGAAAATGCATATGATATTTGCGTTTGTAGCATCCAGTGTAGAATTGGACAAGCGCACATATGCATCTGACTCATATGCAAGGCTCGTATGGTTTGCGATGGAGACAAAGGGCGAACCAACGACACGATGCGTAACTGCCGTATAAAAAAGAAAAAACTAAAAAACCACACACATAAGAAGAAAGAAAACGGAGAAAGAGTACTGAAGATTCCCTTCGCGCTTAATGCATAGAAAGCCAACGGCAGTGTCGTCGCTCGCCAAGTCTGCGCCAAAGGCTCCTAATTGGTTGATGGGTTCGCCAGCAAGAGACACGGATAAGCCTCAATCGCTCTTCTGGCTACATACTATGAGTCGTGCAAATTACAAACTGGTCACAAGGTCAAGTTGTGACGTCACGGTATACATACGAAAACCCATAAGGAAAAAAGGGGCAGATTGTTTTCTGATTTATTATTTTATTTTCTATAAAGAATATAATATTAAGTCAATTATAAAAATATTTTAAATTTTTACGTACGCAGTTAGATATGTGTGATTTGCGTATTAAGAACTGTTTTTCCTTCGAGTCCCAATAGACCCCCATTCGACCCCTTGGGTCAGATAGACCCCTAGGGGTCTATATAGACCACTTTGGCGACCTCCTGCTCTAAGATGATGCGGATTAAAAAAAGTGATGGAATTGCAAAAAATAGCGCAATCCCGCAACGACAATAAATAGCAAATTATGATAACATGGGCAGATTTATCTCCTTTATAATTATACTGCTACATATAGAATAAAAATTTAAGGAATGAGATGGTGCTGTAATTATTTACATATCTTATTCAAGTAGAAAAGCAGACAAATTGCCCTTGCGTGCTTAACACAAATTCAAGGATTTGAATTACCACATAAAATACAAAATCTTCTCCAATATGTTTCTTCATGACGATATAAATTTGAAAAAAAAAAAAAAATTTTAATTGCATAGTATAAATTTAAAATTACAGTTAGGAAACTGCCTGACTTTGATTTAACATGAATCCTTACAATCACATGTATAAGCTCTCAAATAGATTATTTAGAACATGAAAGTTATTTCACACTTCTGAAACAATTTATTCAAAATACATCTTAAGTAATCTGATTATAACAATTAATGTGATGAATTTTGAGGGGAAAATCTTAGGAAAACATGATCTATAAAACAAATGCTTTGCATTTTATAATTTTTTCTAAATGCTGCTTACGACTGGAAATAATAAATGAGAAAAGGCTTCCAATCAAAATTTACAGAAATAAAATGTTCATAAAAAAATAAAAAGTTTCTATTTTGTTGATAAATTTTACATTTCTATTTTAAAATATTTGTCATTACAATCTTCATTAACTTAAAATACCAGGCTTTGATACCAGCTTAAAATTCACACAAGCATCCAATTTTCATATGAAATTCTCTAAATATTCAAGGAAATCAATATAATTAAATCCTTTTTAAAATAAGGAACTAAGCCATTCTTATGTGCTCTTATCATATGACAAAGCTTGTTACTGGAAGGATTTTGTAATAGGACATCCTTAATTTTTAAAGAAATCTTAAGTATTTTAATTTTTGTGAGTCATTGCTTATATTCTCCCCCAATCATAAATTTAACATACACATAGCATAATTCTTTTAAATCTATTTATTTCTGAGACAATATCAATGAAATAAAGAACAATGAATTTCTATGCTTAGAGGTTTTAATCAAAGTCAAATCAGAAAATTGTGTTCCATAAATATTTATTTGGTTTACCATTTTTTCATTAATAATACAAAAATGCATTTCTCATACAAATGTATATTCCTAAGACACAATAATTATAGTAAGCTTCAAAAAGGCTTCATCATTTATGAAAAGCTTCAGAGCAGTATTCTCCTGAACTATACCATGCTTGGGAAGTTTATAAAGCTATTAAAGTTTACATGAATATTAATCGCTTGATGTTTTAAAAAGGCCTTTTAAGAATCGTTTTTTCAAGAAAACATCCATTATTTATGTAAAATAGCTGATAATTAGCTTAAATTTTCTCTGATTTGAAAGGCGAAAGATTACCTATATTGATTTTAAGACAAATATGCAGGAAATAGACTAGAAGAGAAACACACTAATGTGACAATCAAAATCGTAAAAGCAACCCTGTATTTAGCGTAAGTAACTTTTACGATTTTGACATGCAGGAAATGTTAGTGCAGTTGATGCTTGTTATAACAGTAGTTCCTTTACAACAATCTGAATGCAACGTCTCCAAATGATGAGAGTATATTAACTTTTTCTATAGAAATCATTCATAAAAATGCTTCCTTTTCCATAAGATGCGAGAGGTTAAAAACATATTTTCATCAATTGTTAATTACCTAATTAAGCATATGAAATGAAATTTCTTTATCAATAAAAAGAGGAAAATTCTAAGAAAACAGTATTGCTCCTATTCAAAATATGCGTATGGTCAACCTAATAATATTGTTTAAAATCTTTTTACGAGCAAATAATATTCTATATTCATTTATAGTCACGTGCTTATACATTAAGAAACATTACACTTGGTACACCTGAGACAATATTTACTGAAGAGATCACTAAAAAATACTGTACAAACGTTTATTTTAGAAATGTTTAACTGCTCTTTGAAATTAATATGTTAATGTTTAAGAGTTTCTTTTTTTATTCTAAATATATTTTTAATAAGTGAAAAAAATATTCACCTGAAAGAAATTCGTACCGCTGTAGGAGTGGCAATGTCCAGATCCGAAGAGTACGCATTGTTGGATAAATATAATTTTGACAATTTCTCATGACAAATTTTTGTACAGTATTATGAGATGTAATTAATAAATACATAAACACAATCGTGAAAATGCACGCCAAAATATATTTGAAAACAATTCCCACAATTCTCAGTGCAAAATGCAAATAATTCATGAAAAATAAAGGCATCGAAACCTGCCTCTTGCAATACAAAGCTTCTTTAGTAAAAACGTCATTTATGCATCTATGTACATCTTTATCACAAATGGACAATTGACTTAAAATGAAACTTAAGTTATCAATATCTTTAATGGTAGAATTATCCTCGTCATTCATAACTGACCCTACACGTAGGTGCTCAAATACATTAACTGCGTTGCGGTAAAAAGACTGTTTTCAAACGGGATAATTTGTAGACACTCTACTATGTACATATTTTTCTCCCGACAATACACAAACTCAAATTTAACTGGCGCCAAGGTAAATGAACTCAATGTTGCCAGATAGGTAAAGTTTAATATCAATTTTAATCTTCCAATTGCAAACCAATTAAGCATCTTCAATCTGTAGAACATTCCAAAAATTATTAAATATATCAAAAAAACTTAAAAGCGAAAATTAATTAATTCGTATGTGTTAATCATAATTTAAAAACTGAAAAATGAATCTTTTGAAACACCTGAAATGCCCCCGCAGTCCGTGAGAGTCCTGAAAACACCGCAATGGAGCAAGATCCCAAGCCTTCCGCGATTTCAACACTTCTTAATGTGCCATGTGAAAAGCAGCTGAAAAGTGGAAACATGAGCAGCGGTAATCTGTCTGTCAATACTGAGGTGTGCCCACCAGCGGCCAAGCGTAAAAGCCGCTGAATTGCTGTGACGAAAGCTGTGTTAATACTCAACATAATTAGTAATTTTTTAATGTTGTTCGATAGGAGTAGGGCCTTCGGCCCAGGTACCCCGGTGTATACACCATTCCCCCGTGAAACAGGACTGGCAGTTCGGTCCGGGGTTCGAGTCCCGGCGAACGGGCTGACTTCATGGGCGATTTCGTGGTTTTCCCCATGTGTAAAGTGGACACCAGCTAGTTTCTCTTTAAAGGATCTCCACGGGGCATCCCTCCCTTTCCGTGTAGTGCCTAAGGGCGGAGCACGTTATAAGCAGAGAAAAAAAGTACTGAGTCGTGTGTGAAGCATGTTGCGATCGAAAAATAATTTAACATTTATTGCTGATTGTTGCACAGTATCACAATATAATTTACGAGCTAGCAAAGAATCTGAGTTATGCTTCCACCATATTTCTGGTTCGCTAATCAAGGTAGTGATTGCAGCGCTTCATTCATGCGAACTAAAGCTACTTTATAGGAGCCTTAGTGCTAGCGAGATACGCAACGAATCAGCTCACCAGCAAAAGGCCCACATCACGTGTTATATTTTACGTCACAACTTCTCTCTCGCATCAGACAGAGTTACTAGAGATACTTTACAGTATAGAGTCCTTAGCCTCAGAGTGTCTTTTGGCGGGTGCCGTTTTCGTATTTTACTTTCCTGCATAAGAAATTCAAAGTAAATACCATCATAATGGTGATGATAAAGGCAGTCTCTTAACATGTATCTGAACATAGGAATTCTTCTACTAATGTGGCAATATGTTTTATTTCGTGATATTCAGTACCTCATGTTTCCTGCATTGAATTTTACTCAAGATTTCGTCATAATGTTTTTTTTTTTTTTTTTTTTTTTTTTTTAAATTTCTGTGGTATATGGACAGAACGAGAATGCCAAACAGGGCTGGATAAATAGCTTCAGCCCGCTTTCAGAGAGGACTGGGAAATAACATACATTAACAATTGTGCTTCTGTTTTTCTTGATACCAAAAGGAAAATTTTCTAGATTTCATTAAAATTGCTTTATAATATATCCAATAGCACAAAGACTAGGGTTAGCATTTGGTAACATGTGGGAAAATGCACAACGCAATCTGTATGGCAGGTAAATTATATTTATCTGACGGAAGTAAGAAAGGCAGTTTTTTAAGGAAAAGTCTACTTGTAAACTCAAAACAATCCTACCAATGCATAATAACAAGTAACCCAGACATATTGCCATCTTATTACCATGTTTTTGATTTCAACAATGTTCTCAGCTGTGTTGAAAGCTATCAAATAGTATTCAGCTAAAGTAAGCAAAATAGATACGCTTCCTCTTCTCTTGCGGAATCTCGTTGCTCCACGTTTTTGTCATAAATACACATAACAAGCACTTCTTAGTAATCCTTTGCCTCATTTATTTTCCTCTTCTCCCTAGCTGCTATTCCTTACACAATATTTACTTCCGTTGGCTAAATAAAGTGTCACCCGTATCCAGTTATGTGCGCATTCCAATTTAAGATAGTCACAGGGGTCACTCTGATAAGAAACTTATGATCCATAGTTGTTTACATTCTCAGGCTTCACTGTATTTGGCGCTACGGGGTTCTCCCAACGAGATATATACTGTTATATGAAGTCGTTGGGTTCTCCGTCTGCTTTTATGAAGAACTCTAGTAGCTCTAGCAGCCGCTAGCGCGGACCTGACTCTCTTTTTCCGCCTTCCACACCTCCTTCCATACTACTCTTCCTCCTCCTCCCTTATTCTTATCAGAAGTTGAGTAAAACGATGTTTCTACATCTTGACACTCGCGAATAAAATACGATCTGTGTGTGTGTGTAGTAGCTCTAACTCCGGCATCACGAGGCACGTGACCAAGGTTCTTTAATATACTAAAGGTTAGGCCAGGAACCGGAAAAGCATGCCATTGGTTGCTGGTAGTGACGTCACCCGAGTGACAAAGATACATCGGTCGACGCGTCTGTTGCATAATTTCAGTAATGGAAAAAATGTAAACTAAAGCAAAATGATAATTTTATATGTAGTATGTATAATAACATATTGGAAATACCGGGTATATACTTTCCTTTTAAGTATTTTGTCAAAGCAAATGTTTATTTTATGTTCAGAATTCGTACGAATGCTAAAATAATTGTAAACATCCAGAGTCGTAGCTAGGGTTTTCAGCGCCCAAGGACAACTGAAGATTTCGCGCCCCTTGCTACTTGCCAAGGATGGAAAAAATTTAATTCTACAATGTCGTAACATCAGTTTGGCGCCCCTTGAATTCTGCGCCCGGGGACAGATGCCCCCCTTGCTCCCCTCTAGCTACGTCCCTGTAAGCATCTTTTTCTTAAAGGAAAGCTTTAGAATATGAAAAATGATATTTCAGTTAATGAAACTAAATATTGTAAAACGCGGTATTTTTAAATCTTTTTACGTTGTATTGCCTGCACTTAATAAATCTTGTTGAATAGAACACATGAAGGCAGAACTGCCAAAACCATGGTAATAACATAATCAAAAAGTATTTTCCCCATATGTTTTTATTGCTCATGCATTTTTTTAATAAAAATGAATTTTGATACTCTTTCAGTCATATATGATCGTGATTTTCAATTTAAATTACATATCTCAAGTAAAAAAATGTATAAAAAGATTTGAATCACCAAATTCATACTCAATTAATATAAAATTCTACAAATTTCTTTACAGCGTCAATATACTTTTTAAATAGACTTATCACATTCATTTTAAGGTGAAAAGTCACTTATATTGATTCATTTCAGATGTCAGCAGAAGTACATATATTTTCAGTATTATCTAAAAGTAATCTTTCCCTAATTCTTAATTTCAATTAAGCCTGCGTACAAATTAAATATTTTTAATAACTACTGTATTTATATCACCTTGTTCCTTAAAATACTTTTGTTATCTTCGAAGTAGTGTTCAGCATTTAAGTATTTTTCTTTCTGTTATAATTAAAAACAAATTATATAGAATCAAAATTAAAAACATATGCTACAGTTAAATAACACTGAAGAGAATAGCTTACTTACTCTTTCGCTATGTGTATTCCAACACAACACACATATTTTTTTTCCTTCAAGGTCAAGCATGGGGAAATTCACTTAGTTATGTTAATTAAATGACATCAAATTCAGTTAAATAACACTGATGGGAATATGTCACTCACTGATTCGATATTTGCATGGTAGTGTGGTCGAGAAACTGTTCTTTCCTCAGGGTGAAGCATATATCAGTTTACTTTGTACGCAATGCTTAACCCAAACATTGCTTCAATATATACAATTACTTTTGGGATGTAAAGAAAGTAACCAAAACACATAGGCATGTGACTGAAGTTGTATAAGCGAATTTAATAATTAGCTAATCATTTAGGTAGTCAATATTGGTAAACATGACTCTGAGTTTAAATATCTCATTGTGATAAAAGTCTCATTCACAAAATGAAGATTATGATAAAAAGTGATTTAAGAAGAGAAAATATTTTAATTTAAATGTAAAATATTAGTAAAATGACCTATAAATGTACAATTACATATACTAATGTATCCATTCGATCACAGTTTACACAGAATATATGTATGAAAACTACATAAATTAATTAAAAAAATGAGCAGATATTTTATCTGGTTCTAACGACTAACTCAAATGTGTCACTTCAACTAAATCAGATGTCTCACTGGGTGTAAACTGTAAACTGAGTTGCACAGTCTCTTATGAGCTTATAGCCTTTCATTTTTGGGGGAAAGGGAAGCTAAATTTTCCAATGATCGTTTCCTTGCTTCGCGAGACTAACAGCTGCTTGCTCTATGTTTTTTTAACCTAAGCTTGAATGAATCATTCGTCTCAGAAATATTTCTCTCCTGATTAACTTCAGTTTTCTGAAGTACAACTTATATAATGCATTCGTGAGTTATTTTCGCACGATGATGATAAAAGATGTAAAGTGGAACAGCATTGGCTTTCAGCACCCTTTTAGAAGTTGAATCAAGCGCATTTAGATACCGTATGTAGTCATCAGTTGTAAAATGAAGGGCACATATTCTTGAATTTTCGATGTTGGAATTATCTGCTTTTTCGCAGCGAACAGTCCATAACTTACGAAGTTCTGGATCACTTGGAAAACGATGATATGTGATACCTTGACTTCTAGTTTTCCTTCTAAATTCTGTCATAACGATACAGCACAACTTGCAATTTCTGACCAGGTATAATAGCAAATCAATAACACAAATCAATTGAAACTGTCGATGAAACGAATGTAAACAAACTCCAAGAACTAAGGACTGTCACTTACATGACGTCATGCGCACGCGGCATAAATTTTCTCCCGGCACTACGCATCGCTCTTGGGGCCGCTCCTGGCACGTGACAGAGACACGATGTGACGTCACGATGATGTCGACATGGACCTTATCACAGCCGACTGTATCATGGCCTTGAAGCGAAATCAGTTTCGGAAGGTCACGTGATCGAAATAGTCGATTTCTTCCTCTTTACTATAATACCGGAGTTAAACTTTACCGAAAATAGTAGTTTGTATTAAAATAAATATAAGTAAAATTAATAAACGTGAGTAGTTCGTATGATTAACATTAAATTTTTCATAGTGCAATATTTTTACAGGCGGTAAAATGCATATCTTCAATAATTTTTTAAACAATTTGTACTTCGTTTATGTAACTAAAAATATCATTGAGAATCACCTCATGCGAACTTTATTTATGTAATTTTGATAAAAATGAAATTCATTTATGTAATCTGAATCAAATTTATTGCCAAAATAATATAAAATCCACATAAGGGGGGGGGGAATTCAATAGATTTATGGATGCAAATTTTAGATTTTCATACTAGTAAAATAAATATTAAAGGAAGAATTATTTTGTAAAACTCCATGCCGCTACCATCGCATCAGCTATATAAATTTTTAAAAGTCAAATACCCATAGTCATCTCTCTTCACTCTTCACTAATAAAATCTGCATATCTCAATTTTATCAAAACAGGAAAATGAATTAAAATTCCTTAAACGCTAGAAAATTTGAATATAAAGATGAAATTACATGCACGTTATACTATAAATAGATCTTTCAAGATAATTTCAAAGAGCTAAATGCTAATTGCATTCATAAAAAAGGACAGCCATCTATTTGTACCAGTTACAATTTTATGTTGAATCACTTTTTCCAAAGCATCCAAGAGATAAGTGATTTCCCCAAATTACAGGCCTATACCACTATTAAAATTAAATTCATAAAACTTGGAGCTGTACCATATACATACATGCTACATATTATACATAATCTATGCAGAAACAAAGCATAAATCAAAATAAACAATTCAGTTATTAACTGAAATTAATTAAATTTTTTAACATTTTTATATGAACATTTTATATTAATTTTGTCATTTTTATATTTTGTATAATTATTTAACATTATTTTACAAGTTATCAAACATATTTTCTAACCGAGTTTGTAAAGTCATTCCACAAGTGCAAGAATCTGTTAAAGTAACTGTATAGTGTACTAACCGTATGTAAGATAACTTATATAAAATATCCATTTGCTTTCCTGACATAAGAAATGCGTTTTCCATGTTTTTAAGAATTTCACCAAATAAGAAATAGACAATTGAAGATTTTAATAGAGTAACTTCAGATGGAAAATTTTTTATTTCCCCCTTATCTAATTTTTTAAGAAAACCAAAAATATCATCGGCCTGTATCTACTGAATGAAGTACTTTGCAACCAAGTCCTGGCAAATATTGCATTTTATCACCCTTAATTTTTTCATGGCATCATAACCTGAAACATAAACTAGCACTGCTAAAATATCAGAAAAAAACATTTTTCTATAAAAAAATCATTAATTAGTAAATTTTAATAATCAATTAATATTCGCAAAAGTAAAGATAGAATCCTTATCATAATCTGGTAAAAGAGACATTCATATTTGATGATGAAATTATAAAACGAAGCTTCTTCTCATTTTCTAATAATTGTAGGTCATTTATTTAATAATCTGAACCTGACATTTGCCGATACATTTCAAAACGTGATTCAGGAACATCAGTGTGAAATTTTCCTAACAATATGTATTTAGCTTCATAGTTTTGAAACAAACATGGAATCAATTGAATGAATGCATCTATAGTTGTTACTAATGCCTGAAATGTTTGTGGTGATAAAGTTTATTTTATTGGAACAGAATGTCAAATATGCCATTAGAAAGTAATAATCAAAATAAGGAATTCCTAATGTACTATTCCAAACAAATATTCAAAACAACACTACGCGAAACGTCCAAACTAATGTATTCGATGTTATGTTAAAACGAAATACTTGGATAATAGGATTGAGAACAGCTACAAATTTTCCCAAATAAATCTAAAAATTAAAGAAGTATAAAACGAAGTATAGATAAAAATATTATTTACCTTAGCATAAGTGATTTAAAATCACTTAATAGCAAAATATACATCCAAGAAATCCAAGACCACGAGTTCACAACCACACACTACCACAAAAATACATCGACCATCTTGATCACGTGACTTTTACGCTTCAAGGCCATTATAGAGTTGGCTGTGGGACCTTATAAGAAATAGACTAACCCAATTGCGTTTTCTCCCTCGTCTGGCGAGTTCCCGGCTGTCACCTTGATCACATTCGGAGGAGTAGGGACGACTTCCAGAAATTAGCAATGGTTGGCTATTGCAGCGCGTACAATTGTCACGAAAAAGCTGGTGGTAGTGTCTCATTTCACAAGTAAGAATTTTTAAATATTTTTATTTTTGACACTGAGATTGCTTTTTAAATACTTAGCATGTTTTTCAAGCATAATTAACGTTCTAAATAATTATAAAGCTGTTGCATGCTTTCAGGCTTGTATATATTTTTAGCTTTTTCTATGATGTAAGCGAATTTGTAACTTCTTCTTTTAGAAAATAATATTTTAAATGTGAACTAACAGAAAAATTCAATCAAGTAATTTTCCCTTACAATTACTAAAACTATAACTAATACTAAACTATAGCTAAATACTAAAATGCCTAAAAATGAATTTTTGAAAGTTTTTCTTTAAAATTTATAATTTTTTGCTGCTTTTTTAAATTATAGGTAAATTTTAATTCCTAGCATTATAACTAATCAAAAATAAGAATATTTAAAAACGAAAAGTATACATCTTATATAGCTGGTTTTGTTGTTAAAAGCTTAGCTTATAAAGTAAAATGTAATATCTGTTTCTCAGCTTAAGTTTCAACAGAACCATATGATGGTTTGCTAGGTTTCAAATATTATAAATCTGGATGTAAAGGTTTGACTTCTCCTTCCAGTGACGTCCGAATGATATGAAGAAATAATTTTTAGGCAGACTGAAGAGGAGTTTAAATTGAATAAAAAAATATTATAAATTTCATGACTCTAAAAGTCTTAAAAAGCGTAGGAACACATATATTTCCTTCTCTTCAAGACCATATCTATGATGATGCGCCAGATAAAAACCACCTGATTAAATTAATTAAAGCAGTGATATTTCAATATTTAAAAATCAGAATGCATCATGCAGTTGCATGTTACGATGAATCTAAACAGAGAGAAAATATTCGAAGCAGATTTACTAAATTAATTTTATTTAAGCATCAATAAACCATATTATCTGTTTCCCTTCCTTTCTCTCTCTAAATACATATATATAGGTGTGTGTATTTACATTAATAGATAAATAGATATAATCTTGTTTTCACAAATATTTGAAATAAAAAGTGAAGTAAGCGAATTTTTCAATGCAACAAATATCCTAAATTGTTTACTTTCATACATATGTATTTATGGATGTATAGTCATTCTACTTAAAGTATTTACAGGTATATAAAATTACAAGGTTACTTTAGGCGCATTAATAAAAGTTTAAGATTGGACATATAATATCTTGTATTTTATGGTAATTATTTTTTTAATTTATTTCTAGTTCCGCATAAGATTTTTTTATTTACTGCGAATTTTTTAAAAAAATTTTTCATTACACTCAGAAAAGTTTATGCTCCGAATTTTATGAGTTATTAATATTGTCATAAATGATCATCTTTTAAACTACCATAATAATTTAGAAAACAGAAAAAATAAAGAAAACAATCCTTGATTTCTATAACATTTGAAATGATAAATATTTGCTACTACTGCCTGAAAATTGTTCACAAAATTAAAAAAAAATTACCAAATCTTGTTTAATTTTACCTTATTTGTTTCATAGCATCATGTCTATCAATCTTACTTAATTTTACTTTATTTGTAGGCAAAAGTAAATTCATAAATTTTTTGTTTAGAGTTTTTAACCGTTTTATCAAAGTAATGATGTTTAGACAAGAATTACGCTTATGCTCAAAATGCAGTAAAAAAAATACTCAAACTGCACTAAAAAGTAGTTTCATGAGATATATAAAATCTTATTAGCAAAAACTGTGATTTTTATTGTCTCATCATTTATACAACGTATCACATTTAATAATTAAAAAGAGTTATGTGATACAAACGCCATATGTTTTAATGTCACGATAAACTAAATCGTCTCTACTCTCTCTTCCCGACATGTGTGTGACGCACGCCCCACCCACTGGGTTAGTCTATTTCTTATAAGGTCCATGGATGTCGACTATTCATCGCAGGTTTTCCTGTAATGTGCTGACTTTGTTGATTTTACTAACTTTGTACTTCGGCAATCTCTTGTAAAATCCAAACGCTTTCCTTACGCTATCGCGCTGGAAAAGTTAGGTTGTTGTGGTAATGATCGTAGAGTGTCTTTAAAAGTACCTGCTATTATTTATTTCTATATTTGGACAATAGGAAGCTATTAAACGGCACATTCCTTCTGTATTCCGTGCCGTATGTCCTTTTGTCCTTATTTTTATGTTTGAGGAACTTTAAAATATTTATCGGAGTCAAAGCGTTATATTGTTGATAGTGTTTAACAATTATGTTCACAGCTGGAAATGTAAGTTAAAAAAACTCTTATTAAAATTATTATTAATTTTTTTATTTGTGAAGCAAAATCGAAATGAATATTTGGTTGTATGCGATTTATCCAAGATTAGATAATTAGTAATAATTTCGGCGATTATTAACATCCTGATCAACACATTTGATTACTATATTTATTACCTTGATTTAAAGTTAGAAGGAGGAATTTGTTTCAGTGAGAGAAAAATGGTCCGTATAGTTTATGCAATTACGCTCACATACTCCCCATTATTGCGCGAGAAGATAAGCACAGAGTAAAGTGGAATCTGTGTAATACGATGTGAGGCAGAAATATTGTACAAGCACAGAAACTGTTTATATATAGACACTCTTTTTTACTAGATGTGAGATTTTCCAAGTGAAAATGCTTGTTGAAATTCTTTCAGTTACTGTAATCCATTTTAGAAATGGTAAAAAATTCTGGTAAACATTTGGATGACAAAGATTTGAATGATATCTATACTTTGAAAAATTGCTGTAACTTACATGTGTTAATGCTTTTCTCTTAGAGGAAAATTAATTACATTACACTAAAGAGTAACTTATGTTCTTCAGTATTTTTTTAGTGTTAGTGTAGTCCGTATTGATGAAAAGGAATGTGTTATAAAAATACTAAAAGAAGTCTGGGGTTGAATGGTTTTAGAAGGGAATGCCAAATGGAAATTGAGTTAAAAATTTACATTTATTATTAATGAGAAACAAATTATCACAGTATCTGAGGAACAGTCCTTTTTTGCTTGAGAGAATTAATTATTCTACCTCTTAATTTCAGTAGTAGCAGTTTGAATGATATGTAATTTTAGACCAAGATCTTTTTCATTAATATTATTGCAGATAATTTATTTTTCAAGGGTTGGTTGCATTACGATTGAAATGTGTATTGCAAACATCAATTAGTTATGTTAACTTCTTTTTATTCATACGGAACCAAAATATCGACTTAATGAGCCCCAGATATCTTGTGTGGTTTTTCAGTTCAAATGCATGTTAACCTTAAGTTACATTTAACCTTTTTGCAATCAGTCACATGGTTATATGATGATTCGATTCAGATATGTCTGTAATTTTATCATCATCAACTTGAGGAGATTTGAACATTGGTCATATTCAAGTGAAAAATCTCTGGGCTGAAATTTTTTAAACCAGTTCTGACACATGTGTTCTTTTAAGCAATCAGTACATAAACTTCACATATCTCTTTGTCAGCCTCAGCTGCCTTCTTACCTTGAAAATAAAAAAGTAAAATATGTCCAAAATGTTCATTTTTGCATCTTATGTTACAGTTGACTGTAAACTTAACAGTTGTAACAGAAAACTATACGGAATTTGTTTCTGTGGAAGCCTAAAAGTGTCAGCTGCCAGATCTTGAAAGAAAAAAATATGTATAAGATTGACAGAAGAATAACAATACGAATATAACGTTATCTATTTAAGTAAACTAAAATTACTTTCTTGCCAACCCAATATTAAGCATTATAAGCATGTGCTTACAGGGTACCAAGGTAGAAAATAATGCATAATGGAATTTTTTTTTACAGGAAAAATTATGATGTGTCCCTTCCTTTCTTTTTTGTTTCTGTATTTTTAGGTCAAGAAAGGTTTTTCTGTATTGAATCCTTGTTCTTGGCATCAGTTGACTTTTAATCCAGTTTGCTGCTTTGAAGGATGAGATTTTTATATTTTCCTTTCATCGGGGATGTATCAAGAATAAATAAATCAATCTATGGAGGGGGAGGGGGGAAGCATGTTGTGTAAAATACAGAATTCATAGAATTGAAAAGAAACATCAAAATATATGGTTAAAGAAAGAAGCCATAGGTTAGACAGATTTAATATAAAATTCTATTTTGAATTTTACATGAGATATGCATCAATCTAATATTTTTAAATCATAATTATTATTATTTACTGTTTTTAAGAAATGAGTAAATGACTGGTTAAGTTACAGACTGGCAGCATAATAGGTACACATGCAAAAAGGAATGATGTTAATTTTACCCCATAATTTATTTAGCTCACAAATATAAATTATGAAAATATTACAACACAAAAAATAATAAATATACATAAACCTTTCTGGGAAGTACTCTTATGCATGCCTTCAGTTGGCGACAAATTTCTCACCAAACATTTTCGGCGATAAACTCCATGGCGCCATATTACTGTCTAAGTTTTTTTACACACAATTGTTGCCAAAAATCCAAAACAAAAAAATTAGATAGCAGAAACGTAAAGTTTCTAACCAAAAATCTTTGACAAGAGTTGGTGTACACTATTTTAACTTTAAAAAAATCAGAGAATTGCACAATCTATGCAGCATAGGAATCTAGGAATTACGCACACCTCGCTAAAATAAACTAACATAACAACAATAAATTTCAAACAATACCATGTACACAGCGTTCTGTTTTAACTTTAAAAAAATCAGTGAATTGCACTATCTAGGCATCGCACACAGCCTCGGCATTGTGCACAAATCAACAAAATAAACTAAAATAAATTACAAACTATTAAAAAAACAACAATAATGACGGAAATTCATAGCAAAAAAACAATGAACATAACATTCTACAAAATAAGAACAACAATAAAATAAAGTGCACTTACCATTGTGGATGCTTCTTCAAACAGCAGAAATATCAATTTCAAACATTAGTAAATCTGCTAAAAGTATATTTATGCGTACCTCTTGGCGTTTTTTGACTGTACATGGATACCAAGTTTGTGCAATTCTTTGACTTGTGTAGCGGTGACCAAAAATCGCTGCTACACAAAGTCAAAATAACAAGACAAAGAATTGCACAAACGCGGTATCCATATACACATCGACCTTCACTTCAAAAAAATCCCAGAATTGCACAAAATTGACATTGCACACTCTCTTTATCCATATACACAATCAGTTTTTCACTTAAAAAACATCAGAGAATTTATCCATGTACACATCGAACTATCTTCGCTTAAAAGTCAAAGGAGCAGCCAACCAAAAAATATATAATCCCAAGAAACTACTTTTAAATCAAACAATGAAATAATATAAAAAAGGAAATTCATCTTTGCGCTACACAAAGGAAATATCTACTTTATTTACGAATTAACACGTCTTCGGTCAAACAAAATTCCTTAACAGGAAAGGAAACAGGTCCTAGAAACAGGACACTTAATAATGGCTACTAAGTAAACCTTCATTTACACACCAGTCAAGTAATGCTCTTTTTCCCTTTCTTTCCAAATTGTACAGAAACTTCAAATTAATCTTATTTTATTCAGCCAGTTTACTGTCTAAACCAGAAAATGAGCAATGTACTTCCTAACCAACACGCATGACAAGCCCTTACAAATTCACCACAATCATGCAACCGATTTTGTCATAATAGGGTTTCCATAACACTCAACTACTCAAGCTACCATAAATAAATCACCACTTGGTGATAAATGAAACAACAATTTGGCGATAAATGAAACGGCAACTTTGCGATAGAAAGGGTACCCTTCTCTCTACTCTAACCACAAAACTCATCAGTTTCCACCACCTTATCCTTTCCCCCTATCTTCTGAGACACAGAGCATACAAAGTCCAGCATTCCAAAAATTCCCAAAATACACTTCGATCCACATAAACACAGCTGTGAACAAAAGACTCGTTAACAACTCCAATATCGTACCTTTTAATAAATTTACCTTGCACACAATCCAAAATAGGCGACTGAAATTTTGTCATCATGTCTTTCATTGCAACATAAGCCATTTCAGAACACCCATCAAACCAACCACTCCAGCAAAATCAAGTTTAAACATCAAAAGAGTTGCTATACAAACAACATTGCAGAACACACAATCATGCCAAAAACCAGCGCAGAACACATATCGGCCACATTTGGTGATGCTATACATCTGAGGGCGTATGTAAGAGTAGTACCCCTTTCTTGAACTTTAAAAATATATTGTCTAACCTTAAACACTCATGTCAGAAATTTCATAAACAAAATTGTTTTGCTATATATAATTTTTTATAAAAGATATATTTGCTGAAGTTTTTTTTCCTCTGTCCCCGTTTAATTCTTTTACGTCCATAATTTTCTTGTTTTCCGTCGGCTGTAATTTTTTGGGTACTTATGTATTATCGCAACCAGGTCAAAGTTCGCATAAATTGCGAAATTTGGCAACCCTACGTGTTATACGTAGTTTTGTAAAAAGAGCATGTGGAGATTCAAAAAATTTTCCTGCATTTTCGTGCAAATTTTTGTAATTTATGAGAAAATAGCAGTGTACATGGATAAAGTGAAGTGTGTGCGCAATGCCATTTTTGTGCAATTCTGGGATGTTTTTTTAAGTAAAAATAAGTCGACATGTACATGGTTATGGCGAATACGGTTTTTAATCAGTGCTAAAAGCAATAGCCAAAAGATTTCCGCCGAAAAAATAATTCTGCAACTTATTCAAATTCGAAACCGGAAGGGTTTAATTGCTATTTTATATTTTAAAAGAAAATAATATAAAAAACTGTATTAAAAATTATCTGTAATTAATAAATGTACATTTTTTCTATTCATACTTTTTTACTCAAACTTACAAATAGCGTCAAAACTTACGAATAGCGTCAACCTGGTTGCGATAATACGTAAGTACCACTTTTTGCCTCACCTTGCCCTGTACCTTTGTGCTGTAACTGGAAAGCATGTACAGCTATCATCAGAATGTCTGGAGTTCAAATCCTGTAGAGGGCATCATTAATTTTTGGTATTGCCTGCAGTGGCGTAGCGAGGGAGGGGGCAAGGGGGTTTATGATGCCCCGGGCGCCGCTCGCAGAGGGACGTCAAATGGTCTCCAAACAAGATTTTCATCATGTCAGTGTGTTTTTTTTGGGAGAGGGGGGCGCCAGTTATGCTCGCTACGCCACTGATTGCCTGCTTCAATTAACCTAACGAGTCTACAAAGTGACTGATAAAATTCACCTTTTAGAAAGTTCCTGAT